GGCATCTGCCCCCTTCCACTGCATCCCCCAGCTCCCAGCGTTGCTCAGACTTCCATCCCCCAGCTCCCCGCCCTCTCCCAGTGGGACAGTGGCAGAGACTCCTGGTTGGTCTCCTCGCAGGCCTCCTCCCCATCTCCACCTCATCCTCTACACAGTGCCAAGTACTCATCTGAACTGAATACTCCCTGCTCAAGAAACTTCGTGTTCCCTTTGGCCTCTGGGACAAAACACAGCCCCCCCTTTGGCATTTAGAGCCCTTCACAATCTGGTTCCATCCTAACAACAGCTCAGAGGATAGTAGGCCCAGAAATTTGGAGCTGGAAGGGACCTTAGAGGTGATGGAGTCTAACTCCTTTCTTTTATAGAGAGAGAAACTGAGGTGCAGAGGGTCACACAGCTAGTGTCTGAGGCAGGACTGGATCCCAGGTGCAGGGCTCTGTCTGCTGCTACTCTGTGGTGGTTCTCCAGGCTAGTCACACTTGCCTGTTTGCTGCTCCCCATGCATGGGTGCCCAGATTGCATCCCTTCCTCCCCTAAAGGGAGGAACTAAAGCCCTGCTCAGTTGCTTGCCGGAGGCCTGGCCTGATTCCTTCCCTCCGTGCGGGCATTCTTCCTCTCTCCAGAGATCGCTTGGCATTTGTTTCCTTACATGTGTGTCACATCTCCACGTACGCTCCCAGTAGAATATGCCAATGGCAATGATAACATTAGCTAGCCATGATGATTTAAGGTTTGCAGAGCATTTGTGTGTATTAGCTGATTTGATCCTCACAACAACCTGGGTGGGGGGGAGTGATGGTGGTGCTATTATTGTCCCTATTTTACAGATAAGGAAACTGAGGTATCCAGAGGGGCAGTGACTTGCCCAGGATCACCGAGATCTTCCTGACTCTAGGCCCCCATGCTCTGTCTGCTGTCCCTTAGCTGCCTCTTTATAAGGCAAGCTTCTTGAGAACAGCGACTGATCTATTTGTCTCTGTGCCCTCAATGCTCAGCACAGCACCTACCACATAGTAATGAGGGCAGCTAAGACAGTGCATAGAGCGCTGGGCCCGGAGTCCAGAAGACATCCTCCTGAGTTCAAATGCTTAATTAACCATGTGACCCTGGACAAGTCACTTCACCCTGTTGGCCTCAGTTTCCGCATCTGTAAAATGAGCTGGAGAAGGAAACAGCAGACCACTCCAGTATCTCTGTCAAGAAAACTCTCAGTGGGGTCATGGCAAGTCAGACATGATTGAAAAATGACTAACACATGCTGACCTCCAGCTGCCTTCCTGACATCTTCAGCCGGGCATCCAGGAGAAGTCTCAGGCTCAGATGCTCGAGACGTGTTTATTGAATCGGATTTGAAACACCACACCAGTGTTAGTATGGAAGCAGCCAGGGAACAGAGGCCAGCCAAATCCTGCCTCTGCCCCTTTGTCCTGTGTGACCTTGGACTGTTCCCAAACCCCACTCTGGGCCTGAGGCTCCTCACCTGAAAAGGGAGGGGCTGGAAGAAGATAAGCCCTGGCCCGAAGCCTGGGAGCCTCTACCTGCTTCCCTGCCTTTCCGGGCCTTGCTGCCCTCTGCTGGCAGGTGTGGGCACTCCCCATGGAGTTCCCAAGCCTTCTGGTGGACCAGAGACACCAAATGGGGGCTGCCTGGTCTGTTAGCCAGCAAGCTGCCATTGAGCCCCGATGAGGCAGGTCCCCCAGGCGGCAGCCCCATGAACCCTGGGGGCCAGCCTTCCCATATCGTGTGGCTGTTTTGGGTCCCATTCAAGACAAATTCAAATGACTTTGCCTCTGTCGCCTCAATTTCCTCATCTGCAAAATGGGGCTAATAATAGCACCCACCTCCCAGGGTTGTCATAAGGATCAAATCACCTAATCCATGGAAAGTGCTTTGCAAAAGCACCAGACAGGAGGACCTGAGTTCAAATCCGGCCTCAGACCAAACACTTGACCCTTACTAGTTGTGTGACCCTGGGCAAGTGAATTAATCCCAATTGCCTAACAAAAAAAAAAAAAAAAGAATAGGGACATGTCATTGGTGGTGGTGTTTTTTGGGGCAGCTAGGTGGCGCAGTGGATAGAGCACCAGCCCTGGAGTCAGAAGGACCTGAGTTCAAATGCGGACTCAGACACATAACACGAGCTGTGTGACCCTGGGCAAGTCACTTAACCCCATTGCCTAGCCAAAAAAATAAAAGAAGAAGAAGAAGAAAGAAAAGAAAAAACAAAAGCACCAGATAGGCACAGGCCTAATTATTATTAGGATGAGGAGGGGTGCATAGCATCTACACAAAATAGATGCCCCATACAGTAAGGGGAGAGGAAGTCCCAGAAATTGAGAGGAGGTACCCCTGAGTGAGCCTTGGGGGAAATGTAAGGCCTGAGATCCTGTGAGGTAGAGGCAAGGAGGAAGCCAGGGGCACTGGAGAGGGCTAGCCTCTGCCTTCCAGGATGCAGCAGTGAGTGCCATGTTGGAGATCCAGGCTGCTCCAGTTTGCAGACAGGAAAGCGCCTACTCCAGCCAGAAGGTCAGAGGTGGTGATGCCGTGATGGGAGCTTCTGGCCCAGGGCCCTTGTGCTGCTCCTTTTCGGAGGAGCTGTTCTCAGGGCAGGAGTTGCCAAGCAGGCTGAGGCAGGGCTCCCCACCCTCCAGGGGCTGTGTCACTGCCCTAGGAGGCACATCCCTGGCGCCACCCTCCTGACATGACTCAGAGCCCCTGTGGGCCCCACCCACCACAGGGATGCCAGGGCGGGGTCTGTGCAAAGGGGATGACTCCTTGGGTTCCCACTCTAGTTGCCTCCCTCCCTCCCTTCCTTCCTTCCTTCTGTCTCTTCTTCCTTCCCAGCCAAGAGCCAGCCAGCCCTGACTCTGAGGGTTGGGGCCCCTTCCCCCTGCCCTCCCTCCCGTGGTTTAGCTGTTGCTTCCCACGGCTCCCACTGCCTGGCCCCATCTCTGGTTCCACAGCTGTGCTTTCCTTCCCCAGCTAGTAGCTACACGTTTGGGGCTGGAATGCCTGTCATCAGACCGGCTGGGGAGAAGGGTGGGGATGTGGCAGGTAAGGAAAGAGTGACAAGTCGAGAATGGGCAGGCCCTGTGCTAAGTGCTGAAGGGGCAAAGAGAGGCAAAAGACAGCCCTGCCCTCAAGGAGCTCCCAGTCTAATGGGGAGACAGTATGTAAGCTACTTTGTGCAAACAAGCTAGAGATGAGAGAGATTGGAGATGCTCACATTAGGGGTGACCAGGCAAGGCTTCTTACAGAAGGCCAGGTCTTAGCAGGGAGCTCAGTGGTCAGAGCAGCAGGGGGAGAGCATTCCAGGAATGGACCACAGCCAGAGAGCATGCTGGGAGCTGAGGGCACAGAGGAAGCCTGGGGAGTGATGAATGCAAAACAGCGTTTTGTGTTTGATCCGGGGGGTGACATGGGCCCCCCCCCCGGTCATTGCACCAAGGCGGAGGCAGTGTCAGAGGAGAGAAGGGGGCCTGTTGGAGAGACACAGCAGAGGGGAAACGGACGGGCCTTGGCACAGCTTGGATGGGGGAGGTGAAGGAGGGAGGCTGGAGGCAAGGGCTGGGAGGAGGGTGGTGCCCAGAACAGTAACGGGGGCTTGGGAAGCAAGAGGCTTCGGCAGGAAGGACAATGAGACGGGTTTGGGAGGACAGGCGGAACGTGAGACTTCTCCTGGATGCCCTGTGTGAGATATCAGGGAGGCAGCTGGAGGTCAGCAGAGATAACGCCCTGGGTGTGGCGAGCCTGTCTCGTGTCTGTCCTGATCCTCAGCTGTGTGGTGTTATTTATTCCCAGACAAGGGTTGTGTCTTCACTAATGCATTTCCCTCAGAGCCAAACACACAGTAAGAATTTAAACCGGGGAGTGTGTCATGTTAGGAAAGCAGTCATTGGTTGAACTTGGTGAGCGGTCACCAGGCGTGTGTTAAATGCTTCGCTGGGCCCTACGGGTACCTGGATAGCCATGCCTGCCCCAGACAACTTTGGCTCTACCAGGGAGTGTACTATGGTCATTCCTGAGTGCTGGGAGACTCAAGATTGGGCCTCCTGCGGCAGGGGGCTGGAGCGTTGAAGGCCTTACAAGAAGGCCAGGGTGAGGGAGGCAGCTCTGCGGAGGCTAGGAGAAGGAGGGTGGGCACAGGGAGCCCTCCTCGCCTGGTTCGGTTGGATGGGGAGCCTGAAGGGAGCCTCTGCCCAAGTGAGGTGGCTCCGCGGACTTCGGCGCCCCCACTAGGGTGAGGCCTTGCCCGGCGCCTTGGGCTCCTTGCATTGTCCTAGTGGGCTGATGAGGTAGGCAGGGTGGAGGGTCTCAGGAAAGAGACCTGCCCTTCTCCACACAGTGGCTGGTCCCCTGTGAACCCCCACTAACGTTCTTGTGACCTACTGGGAGAGAGAGGAGGGACCTGGCTGGGGAGAGCCCTGCACGGCACTCCTTTCCCTAGCCCTTCCTGAGGGCAGCCCTGGGAATTCCTGAATGAACCTATGCTGAATGGGTTTCTTCCCCCCTCCTCCCCTCTTCCTGCAAAATCCAGCCTCCCATCCACATCGAGCCTTTAGTGAACCATGTCTGACTAGACCCAAGTCCTGACTCAGTGCCTCTTTGGGGGAAGCGAACAAGCGCTAATTAACTACCTACTGTGTGCCAGAGGCTAGACTGAGCATTGTTTGACCTGATTCCATTATGATCATCAGCAGAACCAGGTATCGCCTCCTTGTTGGGGCGCCCAGAGGAGCCGGAAGGGATGAGGTTAAAGGGCAGAGGCCAGGAGAACAAAATCCCTGACTTGCGCTGCTCCAGCTAGGGCCTCATGGGCTGACGGGTACCAGGCTCAGTCGGCAGGCCGGATGCGGCGGCAGGTCCTTCCGTGACTCACCTGTAAAATGGGGCCCAGGAGCCTTCCCCTGCCAAACAAAACTCACTTCCTGTGAGTTATCCTTACTGTTGTCAGGGTCAGAAGAGAGAATGCTGCTTATGAAGAGGCATAAAGCAATGAGTTGTTTTGGTAATAATTATTATTTTTCCTTTGGAGGGCAGGGTGGGTGCGTCTCCTGCCTGGCTTCCAGGGCAGTGAGGTGCTGAGATCAGGTCCAGTCATGACGGGGTACGTTCTGCTCAAGTCCAGAGGAAGTGCCGTTAGGCCAGGTGGCGGCCCAGCTTTGTGGGAGGCCTCTGTGAGCTTCGCCCCACCCAGGTCCCAGCGGGCTCTCACAGGCCACCTTTTAGTACGTGGAAGGGCTCAGCCCTGGGGCCAGAGGCTAAGGCCTAGCCCACTCGGCCCCTGCCGCTGCTCCTCAGGGGGTTCGGAGGAGGGGTCCGCCTTCTGGCTGGATCTCCCCGCTGGCCGTGGGGGACAGAAGACACGGCCTCAGCCTTCAGGTCACCAGGCAACCTTTCCAAGCCCCTCTTTGCCTTCGGCGACGCTTGCGACTGCTGAGGGCGGCCACTGCTGCCTCGTGGAAAATAGAGGGGATGTTGTCCTGGAGCCAGGCGGAGCACTCCATGTAAGTGACTGCCCGCACCGACCTTGCCATCGTCTGGCCCTGAGGGAAGAGACCGAAAAGCAGCCTTGGTGTCAGCGTGCCTGCCCCAGCAGCCTTGGTCCAGCCCAGCGTGAGCTGCAAAAGTTAGTTCCTGGCTTGGCCCGAAGCATTGGCCCTGAAGCTAGAGGGCCTGGGATCTAGTCACACATTTCACTGAACAAGAGATCTAGGCAAGGCCCATCACCTCTTGGGGCTTCAGTTCCCTTATTTGCAAAAGGGGAGGTTTGGAATAGGTGCTTGCTAAGGTCCATCCCATCTCTAGGTGCTATGATCCTTTTGTCTCAAGCTTCCTTCAGGAACTGGAATTTTCCCACAACCATAGTGTTTACTACAAAGAGAGAGAGGCCATTTGCCTCCCTTACACCCCATCCAGTGAAGCTTTCAAACTCTTCTGAGGTTCTGAGCTGGAGGAAGCCATGCAGCCATATGGGCTGTGTCCACACCAAGGGCATGTCAGCCATCCTTAGCCTGTCCCTCACTGCTGCAGAGCCTTTTACCCTTCCCCAGTGGGCTCTCTGTTGAGTCCCTAGAGTGAGAGTTGGCAACCTTTTTTCTCCCCTGAAGCCCCCAATTCATTCTCTGTGAAAGAGAACTTTCCCTTCTTCTTGCCTCTGACTCCCCCACCTATATTGAGACTGGGCATTTGCACACCTCAAAACTCGCTTTGCTTGAGTCTCAGAGGAAGAGGTGGCCCTTTTGCTCAGGACCAAGCTGTCTGCATCTTGATCCCATTCTTGCCTTCCTCCTTCTGAAGCTTGGCCTGTCAGTCATTCCCTTTCTCTCATCTTCACTGTCTCCCTATCTACTTACCCTTTCCCCACTGCCCAGAAACATGCTCAAGGTTGGGGGGCCCTTCCTCCAAAGACCTTTACTTGATCCTGCCATCCCCTCAAGCTGTCACCATCTACCTCTCTTCCTTTTTACTGCCAAATTTCTAGAAAGCACCATCTACATTCAGGGCCTCCACTGCCTCACTGCAGAGACTCCACTCAAACTGCTCTCTCCAAGATGACCTTCCATGGGTCTCTTAGCACTAAACTTAGCAGCCTTTTCTTGGTCTCTCCCTTTGCAAATTATCTTGTAGCTACTTGCCTGTGTCCACATGGTATATGTGTCTTCCTATGCCCTTGCCTCCTCTTCTCTCAATCCAAAGTCTTTGAGGATAAAAACAGTTTCATTTTTTACCCCAGTGGTCAGCACAGGGCTTGGCACACAGGAGTTATTTAATAAGCTTTTGTTGAACTATTGAATCAAACCACAGGTGAGAAAGTGCTGGCTTGGAGGTCAGAAGACCCCAGCTTTGTCATCAGTGAGATATGTTACACTCTACTACCCTGTGTAGTAAAATGAGGGGGATGGGTTAATGATCTCGAGCCTTGGAGAGTGTCTAGGAGATGAGGAGGGACAGAGCAGGAACCAGGAGGAGGGATAGAGCAGGGACCAGGAGGAAAGGAGGGATGGAGGAGGGACCAGGAGGAGGGACAGAGCCAGGACCAGGAGGAGGGATAGAGCAGGGACCAGGAGGAGGGACAGAGCAGGGACCAGGAGGAGGGACAGAGTCGGGACCAGGAGGAGGGATGGAGCAGGGACCAGGAGGAGGGATGGTGCAGGGACCAGGAGAAAGGATGGAGCAGGAACCAGGAGGAGGGACAGAGCCGGGACCAGGAGGAAAGGAGGGATGGAGGAGGGACCAGGAGGAGGGACAGAGCTGGGACCAGGAGGAGGGATGGAGCAGGGGCCAGGAGGAGGGACGGAGCAGGGACCAGGAGAAAGGATGGAGCAGGAACCAGGAGGAGGGATGGAGCAGGGACCAGGAGGAGGGACAGAGCTGGGACCAGGAGGAGAGATGGAGCAGGGACCAGGAGAAAGGATGGAGCAGGAACCAGGAGGAGGGACAGAGCCGGGACCAGGAGGAAAGGAGGGATGGAGGAGGGACCAGGAGGAGGGACAGAGCTGGGACCAGGAGGAGGGATGGAGCAGGGGCCAGGAGGAGGGACGGAGCAGGGACCAGGAGGAGGGACAGAGTCGGGACCAGGAGGAGGGATGGAGCAGGGACCAGGAGGAAAGGAGGGATGGAGGAGGGACCAGGAGGAGGGACAGAGCCAGGACCAGGAGGAGGGATGGAGCAGGGACCAGGAGGAGGGATGGAGCAGGGACCAGGAGAAAGGATGGAGCAGGAACCAGGAGGAGAGATGGAGCAGGAACCAGGAGGAGAGATGGAGCAGGGACCAGGAGGAGAGATGGAGCAGGGACCAGGAGGAGGGACAGAGCCGGGACCAGGAGGAGGGACAAGGAGCATGGATGGAGCAGGGACCAGGAGGAGGGACAGAGCCGGGACCAGGAGGAGGGATGGAGCAGGGACCAGGAGAAAGCATGGAGCAGGGACCAGGAGGAGGGACCAGGAGCATGGATGGAGCAGGGACCAGGAGGAGGGACAGAGCTGGGACCAGGAAGAGGGATGGAGCAGGGACCAGGAAGAAGGTTGGAGCAGGGACCAAAAGGAGGGACGGAGCAGGGACCAGGAACAGGGACCAGGAGGAGGGATGGAGCAGGGACCAGGAGAAAGCATGGAGCAGGGACCAGGAGGAGGGACAAGGAGCATGGATGGAGCAGGGACCAGGAGGAGGGACAGAGCCGGGACCAGGAGGAGGGACAGAGCTGGGACCAGGAGGAGGGATGGAGCAGGGACCAGGAGAAAGCATGGAGCAGGGACCAGGAGGAGGGACCAGGAGCATGGATGGAGCAGGGACCAGGAGGAGGGACAGAGCCGGGACCAGGAAGAGGGATGGAGCAGGGACCAGGAACAGGGACCAGGAGGAGGGATAGAGCCAGGACCAGGAGGAGGGATGGAGCAGGGACCAGGAGAAAGCATGGAGCAGGGACCAGGAGGAGGGACAGAGCCGGGACCAGGAGGAGGGACAGAGCTGGGACCAGGAGGAGGGATGGAGCAGGGACCAGGAGAAAGCATGGAGCAGGGACCAGGAGGAGGGACCAGGAGCATGGATGGAGCAGGGACCATGAGGAGGGACAGAGCCGGGACCAGGAAGAGGGATGGAGCAGGGACCAGGAGGAAGGATGGAGCAGGGACCAGGAGCAGGGACGGAGCAGGGACTAGGAGGAGGGAACAGGAGGAGGGACAGAGCCAGGACCAGGAAGAGGGTTGGAGCAGGGACCAGGAGGAGGGATGGAGCAGGGACCAGGCGTGGGGGAGAGCAGGTGGAGGGAGGCTGGTAAAGGAATGCTGTACTCTCAGCTTGTTGAGCTGGAACATAGACTGTATTAATGGTGTAATGTGAGATCCAGCTAGAAAGACCCAGGGACCAGCGAGCCAGGACCAGGGATGGCTTTTTCCCTCAGAGAGGCCTCTGGTCATGCTTGGTTTTGTATCTCTTCAGGGCACTCGCCTCCTATTTCTTTATAGTTAGCTGCCCCTACCCCCACTCCCTGCCATAAACACGCAGGCCTCTAAGGCCCATACAGGGAGTTATTGGGGGCTAGCTAGGCTTTGGCCCTCCCAAGCACAGCCCTGACAGGCCTTGGGATGAGGTAGTCCCCCAGAGTTGGTCCAGGTCCAACAATGTGTGTGTTGGGGGTGGGGGACAGGGTTGTTGACAGATTCATTGACATGCCTAGGAAATTGTTCTAGGGAGATGCTTTTGGGCCTGTGCAAAGTTGGGCATCTGCTGCTTCCTGCCCGGGGGAGGCTACCTGGCCCCACTTCCCCAGGTTATAGTCTACCCTCTGCCTCTATGTCTCCTCAATGCAGCTGCCTCATCCCAAAGACTTTGGAGGATTAGTGGATGGGCTAGGGTTCTTCTTATTCTGAATGTTCCTGTGGAAGGACACAGAGAGTGCCCTAGACCTGAGGTCCTGCAGGCATACAGTGGAAAGAGGCCTCAGAGGTCAGCCCCCTCTGAACACATCCCACAAATGGTCTTCCAGCATCCCCTTGACGCCCTCTGTGATGAAGAACTCACTATCTCATAGAAAGGCTAGGGCAGGCCTGAGGCTGATACCTTCTGGTAGGTGATGGGTTCCTGGCGGCTCTGCCGTAGTTTTTTCAGCAGCACCTTGTCCTTGCGCAGATCAGTCTTACAGCCCACCAGGATGATAGGTACCCCTGGGCAGAAGTGTGTCACCTCTGGATACCACTGTCAGGACAAGAAAAGGAGACCATGTGTCAGGCCTCTCTACCTCCAGGGGAAATGGGGGAGCTTGTGCTGTCCTTGCACAAAAGGAGGTAGGCCAGCCTCAGTTTTCTCACCTATCAAATGGGGCAATAATAGCACCAGCCTCCCAGAGAGCTGTTGCAAGGCTACGTTGATCCTATGATGCCCAATCAGATTGCTGGCTAGTAGCCGGCCTGCTTGGAGTCATTTCTCCAGCAGTGGGGATGAGCTGCCCTGCACTGTCCACACTCCCATGTGGACCTTACCGTTGAACAGAGCAAGGTTTACTAACCCCCAGGAGGCTTACCCTATTTCATGCTTCTGTATTGTTAGCATTGTGTTCTAATCTTATGGACAGTCTAGGACTTTGAGGCTTGGGGGAGTCCATGACCCAGTGGGAGCTGGTTCTGAGATTTCACAGTCAGGTCAGGTTGTTCTGCTAACTAGAAGAGCCCATGGCCCTCCTGCCTAGGAGGCAGCCTCAAGGTTGGGGCAGAGTCCCAGCTTCAGTAGCTGTAGGACTCAGTGCTCACCAGCTCCCAGCTAGGAGGTCAGATCATATAGACTCATGGATTTTCAAGATGGCAGGGACCAGCACAGTGACTTGTCTAGGGTCACACAGGTATTAAATCACAAAATCAGAATTTGAACCCAGACCCTTTAACTCCAAATTCAGTATTTATTCTGCTTCTCCCCATGGTCTGCGCATGGAAAATCCCCCGAAGGCCTAGGGAAAGTTGGACCTTTTGGTAGGAGGGAGACAGGGGGCCATCTCCTGTCACCCCACCCTGGTGTGCTAACCTTGGAAAGGATGTTGTCAAAGCTGTTGGGGCTCATGACATCATAGCACATGAGCACCACCTGCGCATCAGCGTAGGACAGTGGACGGAGGCGGTCGTAGTCTTCCTGTCCTGCAAGTGACCAGTGAAAGAGAGCAGTTATTGTCCAGCCTGCGCCAAAGATGCCTGGGGAGAGGGCGCCTGCAGAGGACGCAGACACCCTGCCGGAAATGTCTTTGCTTTTGCCTGGCTGCGCCCGGGGTGGGGGCGGGGGGCGCACAGGCGGCCCTGTGCCTCTGGGCTCCTGGAGGCTCAGAGCTAACACCTTCTACGGGGTAGGCCTGGCTCTCCTGTCCCCTTTGTTTATTTTCCTTCAGTGATTGTTTACTGCTTAATAGCACTAAAAACAATTCAACATGAAGGTCTGTCTATTTATATTTTGAAATACATGTTGAAGTGTAAAATGCCTCTCTGGCACCTTATGATGTCTCCTTCTCTGCCCCTTCCATTTTGGCTCAGTCTGCTTTGCAAGGCTGCAGTCAGTGTGTGCGAGCTGCTGAATTTCATTGGCGGAGGTATTGATTGAGCCAGCCCTGGTTTCTCGTCACTGTCACTGTCACCGTGTGTGCTTAGCAACAGGATACCAGATTCAAGGGCTGCCAGGGCTGGGAGGGCCCTTGGGCTGTGGAGTCCCAGAGGGAAGAGGAGCCTTAGAACACAGCACAAAACGGCAGGTCTCTGGCAGAGCGCTTCTGTCCTAGGGAAAGGCGAAGGAGAGAGAGGGAAAGGATTCAGAGCTCACAACTGAAAGAAACAGATGTCCAAAATTGGTTTTACATGGAATTGGAAAAGGAAAAAGAAAGAAATGCAGGTTCTTAGGCTCGTTTGCGGCCTGCATCCGTCTGGCAGTCTGATGGAGCCTGTAGAGCCTTCTCAGAATCACATTTTTAAATGAAAAGAATATGACGCATAGAATTACAAAGGAAACTGGTTATTTTGAAAACCATTGATCAAATAGAACACTGGCCCTGTGGTCAGGAGGACCTGAGTTCAAATCCAGCCTCACATACCTACTTACTAGCTCTATGATCCTGGGCAAGTCACTTAATCCCAGTTGCTTCCACCCTAAAAAAAAACCAAACCGAAAACACCAAAAACTAGTGATCAGGATAAAGCGAGACATGTATAAGGTGCTTTGGATATGCTATGCACATGTGAGCTATCAGCTGTCACTCTAAAAATGGTGTTTAAAAACAAGTTCATGGACCCAGGTTAAGAATTCCTGCACGTAGAATGTTAGAGCATCAGAACTGGGAGGAACCTTCAGATCATGGAATGTCATGTCTTTACATGTAATCGGGAAAAAAAATTCTATTAAAAAAAGAACATGGAAGGGCAGCATTGGGGGAGGAGGTTAGAACAGAGATGGTATTGAAGTTCGTCTGTTATCGTTTCGTCGTTTTTCACTCATGTCCGACTCTCTGTGACCCCATTTAGGGTTTTCTTGGCAGAGATACTGGAGGGCTTGGTCATTTCCTTCTCCAGCTCATTTGACAGATGAGGAAACTGAGGCAGATAGGATGAAGTGACTTGCCCAGGATCATACAGCTAGTAAGTGTCTGAGGCATCATTTGAACTCAGGAAGATGGGGTCTTTCTGACTCCAAGCCTTGGGCAGCCTATCCACCGTGGCACCACCTAGCCGCCTGTCAGAGCTGGGAGGGGCCTTCCCACAGAATGTCAGGACGGGGAGGGCCATCTTTTCACAGTGGAAGAAATCAAGGCCTAGGGAAGCATGAGACTTTCCCTGTGTCACACAGCTGTGGCCAGTTCTAGGATGGGACCCCAGCCCTCCTAATCCTAATCTAGGGCACCAGCCTGTACTCTGCCCTCAGAAGCTCCCGAGAATGCAGACTCAGTCACCCATGGAACCCTGGGAGAACAGTATAAGAGAGGGGAAATCAAAGGCTGCGTATGGCACAGAGGCTTTCCTCATTTGTACAGTGGGGGCCTTGACTTGTCGAGGGAGGGAGAGGTAGTGGTGTTGAAGGAGGGCCTCCTGAAGGACAGGGAGCATTTTAATTGCCCAGCCTTGGACACTGCCTGCCAGGACCCACTGTGCCGTGCTAACCTGCTCACGGGGCAGAGTCACCTGGGCAAGGTCTGGCTCCTGAGGGATCCTTGGACGATGGCCAGCCAGGGTGGGGCAGTGGCCCCACAGCCCTGCCCAGGCCAGACAACTGTGGGAGACACTTGGTCCTCTGAGGCCTGGCCCCACTCCCCACCTTGGACTCATTTGAAGGGGAGCTGCATAAGGTGGGCACCTCTCACAGCAAAGAGTAGGCTTTTGTGTGTGGGAGCTGGAGAAGGGCGAGGCTGTGATTGAGGGCAGGCCAGTGACCTGTGATCAGACAGCTGTGGCCACCACTTCCTGACCTGCTCCCTGCCTCCCTTGGCTCTTAGCCCCAATCTGCCTCATCTCAGACTTCTCTGTGCACACCGTTCTTTGGGACTGGAAGCTCTTGGGAGGCAGGGCCGGATCAGTTCTCAGCTCTGAGCTAAGTCCAGGGGTGTTGGTACACATCGGGGTGAAGGAAGGTGGGGGCATGTTTGGGGGGACAGTTAATGCAGATGCAGGCCCTCACCTCCTCCCTCCCTAACTTTTGCCTGTGTCCTTGGGGCCCTGACCCCTTGGCAGGCAGGTGTGTTTAGGGTTGGGGCTTAGGGTTCTAACCCTCCGGAATCTTCCCCACGCCATCCATCCCCTGCCTTCTGCTTCCCCAATGTGGCTGATGCAGTGAGCTTACCTGCTGTGTCCCAGAGGTAGAGATTCACAGGTTTACCGTCAAGCTGCAAGGCCATGGAATACCGCTCAAAGACAGTGGGTACATAGGTCTGAGCAGGAGAGAAAAGGCATTTAATGGCTGAGGGAGACTGGAGGCCCCCAAGAGTCCATTAGTCAATAAATAGTAAGAGTCTAGGATATAGAGGCATTGTGGCAAGCTCTGTGCATACAAGAGAGGCAAAAGATGGTCACTGCCTTCAAGGAGCTTCCAGTCTGATAGGGGAAACACCAGGCAGACAAGCGATGGACAGATAGATTGGTGCTAATCTGTGAAGGGAAGGCTGGAGCAGGAAGGGGCTCAGGAAAGGCCTCCTGTAGAAGAAGGAGTTCAGATATGAGCAGGGAGAGCCTTCCAGGTGTGGGGGACAGCCAGAGAAAATGCCCAGAGAGGGAGGGTCTCCCCGGGAACAGCCAGGGGGCCAGTACACAGAGGAGGAGGGTGTAAGAAGCCTGGGCGGGGGAGGGGGAGGTCACAAAGGGTTTTGAACCCCAAACAGAATTTTGGGTTTGATCCTGGAGGCCACAGGGAGCCACTGGTGTGGAGTGAGTAGGGGAATGACGTGGTTGGGCTCGGGCTTTAGGAAAACGGACTGGAGTAGAGAGAGACTCATGACAGGTAGAGCAACCAGCAGATGATTTGGGTAGTCCAAGCATGAAGAGATGAGGGCCTGTGCCAGGCTGGCACAGAGGAAAGAAGAGAGCGTGTTGGAGAGACACTGGGAAAGGAAAGGCTAAAGGAGGGGAAACCATAGCCAGGTCAGATGTCGGCCTCCCCTCTCTCCCAGATGAGCATTGGACAGGTAGGCTAGTGGATGGGGAGGGATGGTCAGCCTGGGTCCTCAAAGCAAAAAGAGAAAAATCAAGATCAGGAATTTGGTGGCCATTGGGATGTTAGGAAGCCAAGTGTCCCTTTTATTAACAAATGGAAACTCCTCAGTTCCTCTTCACTGCAGTGAGCTGGGGACTTCTTCTACCATAGACATGTGAGGCAGGTATTCAGATGGGGTGGGAGGTGGCAATGGCTGGCCTTGGCCACAGAGGATGCAGGGAGACCACTGTGGGCTTCGAGGGAGTGGCCAGAGTCTGTCTGGCCTCCCACCCCACTCCCCGGGTTGTGCCTCTGCCCACCTCCTCAGGGCTCAGGGCAGAGAGTGAAACCCTGGAGGATGAGGGCAGGGCCAGGCGCACCAGATCTTCTGCCAGGAAGGGCAGGACCCCACCCAGCTGTGGCTCGGCCCAGGGAGTGACTCAGAAGGGCAGTTGGGGCCTCTGAGTCAGCAGGATTGGGGCCTTAGCTCAGGGTTGGCAGGAAGGAGAATGGAACAGGACACGGTACAAACGAGACAAGCAGTCCTAGGGGAGGCCAAGGGTCAGGAGTGGGGACCTCGCTGACGTCGGCGGGGTAGGACTGGGGGGAGAAGACAACTTTGCAGGCCCGAAGAAACTTCCTGGTGCCTCCTCCCTTCCCCCAGCCCATTGCAGCAAGCATTCCTTAAGCAGCCATTTGTGCCAGGCACGGTGCTGAGACCTGGGGACAGAAAGACAGAAGGGCAAGGCTCCGGGAGAGCCGTGAGCCTGCGCCCCTCCACGGCTGGAGCTCTTCCTTGCATCGACTCCCTACACACCCATGCTTGTGTTCTCCCCCATGACCAAACAGGCAGGGATTGTTTGTCGACTGTGTTCGGGCTCTGAGGATCTCAAGCCAGGCCTGGCACATAGTAAGCGCCCAGATACCCGATTCTGATTGATCTTGTGCCCAAGGCCTGGAGGCCATGCTTTAGGAAGGTTCAGCGGTAGGCATGGGAGAGGAAGTGAGGATGCCCATGCTAGTGGGAAGAGGAAGAGAAAAGGGCTGAAGGTTGAGTCCTGCACACTGGTAGTGCGGCCCTGGACAAGCTCTTTAACTGGCCCGAGCCTCATTTCTTCATCTGTAAAGTAGGAATGGTACTCCTCGCCTAGCCCTCAAGGCTGTTAGTGAAACCAGAGAATCCATCCTGTGTGTGCCCTGCTCCACCTCACCAGGCAGGCCTCTGTGCTGGTGTTGTACCATCCTTCCTATCCAGGATGTGAAAGCAAAGGCTTACCAGCCACCCTGGACTTGGGGTGAGGAAGGAGAAGGGATTGTGAGCACAGGCCTGCCAGACTTACATAGTGCCATAGAACCTTCGAGGGCAGAGCTGGGGGGGGCCCTCCGAGGTCTTAGCTTTCTTGACTGGGCTGCCCTCCGCCCCCTGGGCTCCTTCTTGGGTATCAGGGTGCTTAGATGGGAAGATAAACAGGAATATTCCTGGAGCTCAGTCTAGTGAGGAAATGAGGCTGAGATGCAGATCCCTCTGGTGGCTGGTCAGACACAAGGTGTCTGAGAGTGCTCAGGGAGGGAGCTTCGGGGAGGCCCTTGCAGAGGCCTGGGCTGGCTTTCCCAAGGCATCCTCACAGCTCTTAAGGCCTCCTCTCTGCTTCCTGGACCTCAGTGTCCCCCTTCTCCAGCAGTGCCTCCCCAGGAGTGTGAGAACAATAACCGCTACTGGATCTACTCACTAATCAGCTCTGAGGACTGAGGAGGGCCAAAGAGGACCTGCCCTTCCCAGGTCACCCTGGGGTGGCAGCAGGCACAGGGCCTGCTTCTGATTCCAGGAGAGCTCCCTCCTACCAGGCGACAAGGGAGAGGGCTGGGGCTCGGGCGGGCCTTTGGAGAGCTGAGTGGTGGCAGAACCTTCCTGCAGGAGCTGTCCAGCCCAGCCCTCGAGGGTGCCAGTGCTGGGGTGCACAGAGGATGGGTGGGCCTGCATCCCACCAAAAGGGGCCCGTCAGGAGAGCCCAGCCTCAGCAAAGCCAAGTCCCAGGGGGAGGGTGTTAACCACCAGGAGAGGTAGAGGGGCAGGAGGGGCACTGTTCTCAAGCCAGACTCTCCAAGAGCCAGGAGAGGAGGAGGGACTGTATTCTTGACTTAGGGCATAGTCTGGATAAAGGCCTGGAGGCTGGAGATGGAATGTCATGTCCAGGGAACAGCTCCAGACCAGCTCGATCTGATCAGAGAATGTGTGGATGAGGAAGAAAGCAGTGTGGGCCAGTGAAAAGCTCTCCACTTACTCTCTGTTTGATTTGAGCAAGTCTATGGGCCTCATCTATAAAATGGGGTGACTGGATTAGAAGACCTTTCCAGTGCAATCCCTTCCAGCTCTAAATAGAGGATCCTGTAAACTTATTGCAGAGGTGAGGGGCTGTGGGTGCAGAGTATTGTACATCCTAGCAGACATTATCATTTTGTTGGTTTTGCTGAAAAGTTTTTTTTTCTTTTTAATATTTATCAAAAGGGAAGCCTTGATGGGGAGGAAGAGAAAGGAGGGCTGTATTTGGAAATGAAGGTGATACAAAAACAAAAGGCATCATACATGTTGGAAAATACATATGAAATAAGACTGGAAAAATAGGCGTGAGCCAGACTGGGAAGGGTTTGACTTCCCACCACTGTCCCCTGGTGCCTAAGGGTGTTGGTGAGGCTTAGGCCTGTAGGAAGGAGAGCCCTCCCTTCCTCTCCTCTCCTTCCCTCAGTTTCTCTGTTCTCTAGCATTTTGCACAAAGACCCCTCCCTCACCTGCCTTATGAACTGTGCCCCATCATTGTGGCTCCAGAGAAGGTGCCAGCCTGCACTAGTGAAGGCAGTTTGCTCATCTGGGAGATCCCTATGCCAGTGAAACCCCAGGCCCAGTCCCTGTCTCTCGCCATAGGTATACCCTGTGATGCCTGTGATCTTCCAGGTTGACATTTGTGGTCAGGATGCCCAGATTGCTGCCCTCCTCCTCCTTCATTCACTGTTGGCCCTTGGGAGCCTGAGGGGAAGTGGAGGAAGGCTGCAGCCCAGGTTGGGGTCCAGGACAGAGAAAGAGCTAAGGTTTCCTCTTGGGCTGGTGCCTTCTGTCTGAGACTCTGCCATCTACCCTATCTTTGTCTATGCAGAGTGGTTGCCCATGGGGTCCCCCATTAGGTAGGGGACTCCCTGAGGGCAGGAGCTGCCCGTGACCTTTCTCCAGGTCTCTGGCCTGCCTGGGGCATAGTACAGTTATCCCTTTTCCCCATCGTGGTTTTGATGTATCACGGGTGGCATAAGACATTAAATGGAAATTTGGGGGAGCTTGGCAAAAGGCCAGCAAATGACACAGAATAAAATTTAGAAACTTAGAAATGCATAAAATATATGTATAGTATTGTATAATATCAACCCCAATTATACAGTAAGGCACTGTAAACACCCCAGGAAAGAAAAGGAAAAAAATCAGACTTCTTCTCCAGTACAAAGCAGGGCCCAAAAATTTTACGTGGATTTTCCAGATTGCCGGGGAGTGGGGGTCACTGCAGTCAGTAAAGCCCCATTACTGTTGATTACAGATAGGTGGGTGAGACTGAGCTAACAGGCAGGTACTCGCTAGCTCTGAGTCTTTGCCTGCAAACCGGTAGGTTTAGGCCCCATAAGAAGCCAGCTCTGTTCGAGGGGATGAAGGCAAGCTCCTTGAGGGCAGCCCCTCCCTTTGCCTGAGGCCCAAGCTCAGCACCTACTTGGCCCAGGTGCCAACATGGTGTTTGTTGAACAGGTATAAAGAAGATCAGGTATAAAAGACATTTTGTAAACCAGAAAAACAAAGAAACATGAGCGCTTAATTTAGAGAAGCAAGGAGCTGAAGCGAGGTAGCACAGTGGGTAGTGAACTGTACTTGCATTTGGAAAGACCCAGGTTCAAATACTGCCTCCTTCCCCTTCCTAGCTGTGTGATCCAGGGCTAAATCACTACCCTCTCTGAGCCTCAACTTCCTTATCTGTAAAGTGGAGATAACCATCCCTGCTCCCTAAGATAATCCAGGGAAAGCTTTGCAGATTTGAAAGGGCTGTCTCAGTGCTGCTAATAATATTATTACTACTACTGTATCCCAAGTGAATGGGGATTGGGGTAGGTAGACTAAGCCAAAGCTCTTCCTGTGAGTGAGGGGCTGGCCCAGAGGGGAGTTGAGGCTGGTAGAAGAGGCCAGAAGAAGCTGGGAGGGGGGCTGGTGAAATGTCTCAGTTCTAGGCCTGTCTTTGAAGGACCGGCTGGGGAGAGCAGAAGGGGAGGGACTGTGCTTTTACACATCTAACCCTGAACATGCCTGAGCAGAATGCTCAGGCCCATTCCCTCACCTTGGAGAAGCCCTGCCTCCCATCAGCATGGAAGTAAAGAGAGCTGGGGGAGCCCACCCCCACCAGGCACCTGTCCCGAGTTTGCCCTCTGGGAGCTCTTAGGAGAGGAAGGAGAGGGTGCCCTTAGCCCTGAGGGGTCGGGAGGAAGGTGGAGGAGGGCAGCTGAGAGTCACTGTGGGGAGGGGCCAGGTGAAGGATGTAGCTGTGCATGTGTGTCCAGGAGTGGGCATGTGTCTGTAGAGCCAGCTCTGTGGAAGTCAGGACTCACCTCGGGGAACCTTCCCTTGGCGAAGACCATCAGCAGAGACGTCTTGCCGCACCCCCCGTCGCCCACGAGGACCACCTTGATGGTGGGGACAGCTGGGTCCGAGGGCTGGGGCTCGCTGTCCCTTTGCATGCCGCCTGCCCTGGTGTTGGTCCCAGAGGCCCGTCCTTCAAAAGGCCCTGTCTGGCTCGGCAGGCATCTCTCTGGGAAGGTGTGGCCGATGGACAGTCTTCTTCTTCTTGGGCCTTTCCCGCTACCTGCCCCTCGGGACCTCCCCTCGATCCTCTCTGCCTCGGGCTGGGAGGCTGCAGGGCCAGTGGGTGCCTGTGTGCTCTCTGGAGGAGGTGGGAGTCCCTGAGCTTACCCACTGTAGCCCTGGCCCGGCCCCTCTGGTGACAGGCCCGGAAGGCTGCAGGTATATGAGCTCAGGAATGTGGAAGGGGCGGGCACCACCTGGAGGAAGTCAGGAAGGTGGAGAATGTGTGGCAGCCAAGCTGCGTGTGACATCTAGAGACAGCCAGGGTTAAGGTGTGGCCGGGCCGTAGCTCCTGCTGACAGGCTGGCTAATCTAAGAGAATGCCGAAGCAAGCCAAATAGCTAGCACTCAGAGTGTCGGGATTGGTATGGAGCCAGAGGCACCCGCAGGGTCTCAGAAGGAGTCCCTGGTGCACAGCTGGAGCTGGGAGGACTTTGGGGAGTGGGAGCGCCATCCCTCTGCACCCCCGGGTTCCCCCCACCCAGGCTGGGGCTGGTGGCCAACCTCCTGGGGAGGGTCCCTCCAGTGAGCTCTGCTGGACTGATCCTTTCCAGCTGGTGGGAGCTGCCAGATTGGGGACCCCCCCCAGGGTGATGCTCTCCTCCTGTCAGCCTGTGGGATGGGAAGGGTTCTTCCTCTCCAGCCTTACTGTCTGCCCTCTCTGCCCGCCTGCTCTCCCGCTGCCTGTTACCCTTCATTTCCCAGTGGGGCATTTAGCTGAAGGACACGGACATTTTTAAAGGCTTTACTGAAGTCTTTTGTTTTTACACACTGATCATTTCTACAAATCTTTGCGCGCACACACTTAGGAACTGAACCCTCCCTTGTATCAAGGAAACCAGCTAAACAGAAATAACTGATAAGGTGACCTCACCTGAGAGTATCTACACCACTCTGCTCTAGCAGTCCCAGCCTCTTTGACCAAGAGGAAGGAGAAAGGGAGGGCAAAGCTGGTGACTGGACCAGTGACTTCATGGCTATAGGGAACTCCTCCCAATGATCAACATCTTCTCTGATACTAAGAGTTTCTATGTTTCTTAGAGCCCAGAGAAGTTTAGTGACTCGCCCAAGGTCAGACAGTCAGTCTGTCAGAAGTAGGACTTGAACCCAGGTCTGCCTGGCTCTGAGGCCAGCTCTCTACCCACTGCACCACACTGCCTCTTTCTTATTTGATAGGTTAATCTTATTCTTCTTATGCAGTTTGCTTTTACGTCATAGTCCCTTCTGAAAGTCCCTTTCCTCCTTCCCATTCATCCCTTTTAACAAAGATTTTAAAGTAGGTAAAAAGCAGTTCAGCAAAACCAGCATGCCTACCGTCTCTGAGGGGCTGTTCGGTATTTCATCCCCATGCAGGGAAGGGCAGTTCATTGTGGTCCTCACTGTGTGTATCAGTTTTTCCCTGTTCTCCCCCCTCAGGCTGCATCAGTTAGGAGAATTCTTCTGGAGCTTGTCGGAATTCTGCCTCGGCTTGGTTTCTCGCAGTGCAGTGATACTCCATTCTCTTCATGGCTTGGAGCCCACTTGCCCATTCTCCAGTCCAGGGGTATCTCCTTTTGGTGCCCTGAATGTTCTGTGTCTGAGAGGCCCCTCTGATGTCTGCCCTGGGATCTCTAGGCCCCAGGGTATGGACAGCTAACCCCTGTCCGTTGCATACTTCCAGATGGCTTTCCAGAGTGCTGGGACTGCGCAGTAGGAGGCCTGCTGTCCCTGAGAGTCATTGGGGTGTATTTTCAAAGGGCTTCCTGGAGACGGTGCTTCTGCCAAACCCCAGATGCCCTGCCCTAGTTCAGCATGCCGATGCGGGCCAGGCAGGCCATGGGACGTAGGGAAGACCAGCTCAGATGCACACTAAGTGCATGACCACAGGCCAGTGTGAGTCTCATCGCACGGAGCCTCAGTTTCCTTTTTTGTAAAATGGAGATAATAATACTTAGAATACCATGGGAGAGAACACTTAATAAAACCTAGAAGTACTCTAGGACTAGGAATTGGCTGGCCCCCAATGAGCCTGAGCGGTGACCCATCCTTGTACAGGGGCTCTGTGGGGCCCTTACCCCAGCTGGCAGGAGGGTGCTGGCCCTTTCCCTGGCCTAGCATCCAAGCTGTGGCAAACCTGCTCTGCCCCACGACTGTCCCAAGCTGCAGTCCAGCTCACCTTAGCTGGCCGGGCAATTCATGGAACAGCAGCCTACGCTTCCTACTCTGTTCTCAGAGGGAATTGAAGCAGAGACTGTCTGGGCCACTCCCTGGGATGAGCCTTGGACTGGATGTCAGAAGATCTAGATTTCAGTCCTGACACTTTCAGCTAACTACCTGTTACCTTGTCCAAGTCCTTTCCCCTGTTGGGGCCTCAGTTTCCTTGGATATAGCCCTGGAAGGGACTTCAAAAGTCATTGAATTCAATGTCCTTTTTACAGTTGAGGAAACTGAGGCTCAGTCACATGACTTGCCTAAGGTCACATTGTGGGTGTTATAGGTCCTCTGGAGCTAGTATTGCCCCTGTGTTTCAGGAACAAGGCTAGGGCCTGGGCTTGAGATTGTGCGGGCAACACGGACAGAAATGACAACAAAATCCACAGCTGCATACAACTATGATGTCTACGTGATAAATTGGAGATGAATTAAGAGGGAATCAGGAAAGGGTTCCTGGAGAAGGTGGGATATAAGCTGGCATTTGAAAGAAGCCAGGAGGGAGAGAATTCCAGGCAGGGGGCACAGCCAAGACAAATGCCTGGAGTCAGGAAATAAATAACTTGTTCTAGGAGCAGCCAGGAGGCCAGTATCACTGGATTAGAGAGTACATAGGGTAGGGTCAGGGTGTAAAGAGGCTGGAAAGATGGGGAGGAGGGCAGATTGTGAAGGACGTTGAAGGCCAGAGGATTTTATTTTTAAATCACTGGAGTTTATTGATTTGGGGGAGGGGAGGTGACCTGTGTGGCATGTCTGGCCCAAACTGTCCTGTTGAGTGGGCCACTTCTGGCCCAGAAGTCTCCTGGGGGGGGGGGCAGGCCAGCCCAAGCTGCCTTCCACTGTGGGTCATCATAGCCCAGGTGTGCCCAGCTTAGGGCAGCCCCTAGAGAAAGTGGTTAGTCACCTTCCTAAGCCTTCATCGGGTGCCTGGGGAAATCTCTGCACAGCTCCCAGCTAGCCCTGATTGGCCAAGGACTTCCCGTGGGTTCCTGGCCGGTTCCTTGAACTTGTTTTCAGTAGGTGGGCAAATACCTTGGTGACGACTGGGGAGTCAAGGTCCATCCAAGTACAGGAACTGTTGGCTGATTTGTGGGTTGTCAAAGCAGGACACCAGGGCTCCTCTCGGGGTGGATTGCTTCCTGGGCCAGACCTAGGCAACCATTTAAAAGAGATTAGCCCCTCCACAGAGTCCCCAGGAAGGTGCCATGCTCTGCCACATGTAGGAAGAGGCACATAAGGAGATGGGGTCACATCCACCCCCAGTAAAGGAAGCACCCCCCCTCTCCCCAGCCATCTCTCTGTTCTCTGCAGGATCGCTGCACTTTGTGGGGGCCTTTTCTTGGCCTTACAAGGCCTCACCTAGAGTCTGCATTCCATGCTCAGCACTGCAGCCAGGAAAGGCCTTGGCAGGCAGGAGCCTGGCCAGAGCAGGTTGACCTTGACGAGGAGGGGACAGACAGCTATGCCATGCTGAGGCTGCCTGAAGGAAATGGGGAACAGGAGGCTTGGGGGAAGCTGTCAGCACATGATGGGAGGGAAGAAATGAGTGGAGCATTTGTTAGGCCCTTCTTGGAGGGGCAGCATGGCCTAAGAGCCAGCTTTAAGGCCGGGAGGGCCTGGGTTTCCATCCCACCTCTGACGGAGGCTGGCCATATGACCTGGACAAGTCCTTCACCTGAACTTCTCAGTGGTCCACAGAACTCTCAAGGGCGTTGGTACAGGGAGTTGGGGGTGGGGCCCAGGGGTGATGCTCTGTCAGGGAACTCACAGATCCGTTCCCCATCCTTGTGTCCCAGGCACTGAGGACACAAGGACATGGCCTCTAGGGCCAGGAATTCACATAGGGGGCTGGGCTTTGAAGGAAGCCAGGGATCCTTGGAGGTAGGGGTGAGCAGGGAGAGCGGTCCAAGCCCGGTGTGCTGCTGTGCAAAGGCCTGGAGATGGGAGATGGGGCAGGGGATGGTGGGGCCCAGAGTGGGGGGATCGGCGTTAGGTAGAGCAGTGGGCCATTGCTGGTCCTGATCTGAAGTGGAGTTCCATAGAGCTGGTCCTGAAACTTCCCAGTCGCGACCTGGCTCCAGGTGTCTCTGCCTCAGGCGCTCTTCACCTGGCCGTCTACTGGAAGACAGTTATTTATTTAAAACAAAACAAGGTCAGAGGCCACAGCCAAGAAGCCCAGCTGTAACCAGGGACAGAAAGTCATGACAGGCCAATGCGGGCCATTTCCAGTGGCCCTTTGTTGACTGATCGGCCCCAGGCCAGGCACCAAGGGACCCCACACCACCTTGGCCGGCTGTGGGCGAGGTGGGTCCTGGGGACCTTGGAGCCCAGACTGTGCCTCCTCTGAGGCCTTCCTGCTCCAGGCTCTGCTGCGTGGGTGGCTCCCCGGCTCCCCAGATCCCCGGCTCCCCGGCTCCCAGGCTCCCCAGCTCCCCAGCCCCCGGCTCCCAGGCTCCCGAGCTCCCAGGCTCCCCAGCCCCCGGCTCCCCGGCTCCCCAGCCCCGGCTCCCCAGCTCCCCGGCTCCCCAGCCCCCGGCTCCCCAGCCCCCCATTCTCCACCTCCCCCGCTCCCCAGCTCCCCAGATGAGATCATCTGACGCTTTGCGGGGATGAGTTGGCTCTTTGCAGATCTCCTAGAAACATCGTGGGTTCCTGCGGTTGGTTGGACGTTGCTAGGCGCAGAGGGCGTCAGGCTTCCCGGCAGAGTCTAGGTGACCTACACGATTGGCAGAGGCTCAGCAGCCAATCGGCTGCCCACATGGGGCGTCAGCGGTCTCTGGGCAGCAAGGCCGTTCCTCCAGAGCCGCCCGTAAGGGCGTGTCCTCACCACCTTGTTCTGAGCTGCTGAAAGGGGCCTCCTAGACCATTCCCCATGCTTAGAGAAAGGCTGCTTTCTTCCAGGCTTGCTCTGCCCTGGGGAGCGCCGCAGGGACCCAAGAGGTCACCTGAGAATTTACAGAGGGGGAAACTGAGGACCTGGGAAGTGACTGTCCCACGATCACACCGCTCTTACCCAGAGCCTCTATGTATGTATTCCATAGATGCTTAGAATCCTCAGCTCCCAGCACGCTGCCTGGCACACAATAAGGGCTTTGTTATTCGGTTTGTGACCCCTTTGGGGGTTTTCTTGGCAAAGATAACTCCAGTAGTTTGGTGCTCCATTCTCCAGCTCGTTTTACACGAGGGAATTGAGGCAAACTGGGTGAAGTGACTTGCCCAGGGTCACGCAGCTAATACTTGTCTGAGGCTGGCTCTGAGCTCAGGTCTTCCTGACTCCAGGCCTGGTCGTCTGGCTGCCCACAGCAGGTGCTTAATAAATGCCTGTCAAGTGAATTTGAAGCAGGCCCTGCGGACTGTCCAGGCTGTCCTGAGCTCTCCTTAGGGTTTGGCCGCCAGAGGGCGCAGAGGACACAGCTGAAATCCATCTCCAATCCTAATTAGCGAGTCACCAGCCTGCCAGCGAATCTGCAAAATGGGTTATGGTGGGGACCGAGGGACCTTCAGTCCGACCTAGGGGCACTCCTAAATGCTGGCTGCTCCTCACACTATCGTGGCTTCCTAGTTGTTCCAGAATGACCCCCCCCCCAATAGAGCCCAGACAATGTGTTACCGGCATAGGTGGGCTATTGATATTGTTGAGGATAGAGACAGCCAACATTTATTAAACACCTACTGCATGCTGGGCATTGTGCTAGGCGCTGGGGGCCCTCAAATTCAAACTCGAGTTCAAATGCAGCTCCAGATACTTCCTGGCTGTGTGACCCTGGGCAAGTCACTCCCTCTCTTGTTTGCCTCAGTTTCCTCAACTGTAACATGAGGATAGTAATAGCACCTACTTCTTAGGGTTGTTGTGACGATCAAGTGCCATAATATTTATAAAGCGCTTAGCACAGTGCCTGGCATGTACAGTAGGCAATTATCATTATCAAGACCAGAAGGCCTAAGTAGGAATGTAAAGAACACAGAGCTGCCTTCCGCGGCCTCAGGAGAGGCTGGAGTCAGCCCCGAGCAACACGGAGCCCCAGAAAGCTGGGCAGGCCTGCTCCCCGCTGGATGCCATGTGTCTCGTGCAGGTACCTTCCGGGCATCACTGCAGAGGGGGTCTCATTGCTGCCCCCCCAGAGGGCTGGATGCCCTGGACCCATCACCCTGCTGCGGAGCACGTGCTCTCTCGGGGTCCCCCTCCTCCCTGGTGTGGTGGTGGCCGGCTTCTGCAGTTGCCCCTGCATGGTCACCTCCTTGTCCTGGAGGTCCCATCGGCCCCCTTTGCTCCTTCAGCCACTGCCTCTTGTGGGAAGGTGCAGGGCTCCTCCCTCGAGGCAGAGATTCTATGCCAGCCACCTCTCAGCAGGACGTCCCCGCCCTTCCTTTGTGTGTTCTGTTGCCCGTTAGAATGGACCCTTGTTGAGGGCAGGGACTGTCTTTTTCTTGTATTTTCTTGTATTTCAGGTTTCGGGATTCACTCGATGCCTGGCCCCCAGTGAATGTGTGATAAATGATAACTGTTGATGGATAATTGACTGACTGACCCAAGCCCCCTTGGTTCTTGAAAAAGAGTGACTGACAGTGGCCCGGCTGAGGCTCAGAGACCTCCATGGGTCTCTTCTGCGTCGCTGGGATGCTGGTCCCATTCTGTTGTTCACACCCCCCTTCGCTCTGCGTGCCTTCCATGTTGTAGTGCCCAGTGAAGAGCAACTTCCTCCTTCTTGGCCGGCAGCTCCGCCTCACTGCCCCCTCAGTACACGGGACAGGGATGGGGGAGGATGGGGATGTGGCCGCCAGCTCCCTGGAGCCTTCCTCTGCCATCGGCCCGAAGTGGTCTCCTGGCCTTGCCGTTTCTTCACCCTCTGGCTCCTCATTGCTGCCCTCAGCACCGGCTCAGTCCTCCTCCTTCCCTCCGGCCCCTGCAGGCCTCGAAGGCCCTCCACCGTTCTGCCTCCAGGATCTTGAGCCCTGACATTTGCCCGGCTAACCCCATGAGTCAGGCCTTTCTTCTACATCTGCTCTTTGTTCTCACCAAGAGGTCTCCAGCCCCTCCTTGTTCTAGAGAGTTATCCCTGTTCTTTCCTTCCCTTACAGTCTTGGGCCGGTAGGGAATCACTAGAGTGGGACATTCCCTCCACCTTCAGATCTGAGGCCCCCTGGTCCTTCAGCTGTTCCCCCTTTCTAATTCTCACCCCCATCCAGGGTCTCTGCTCCTCCTCCTGAGCTGGAGGAAGACAACAGGCATGATACAAAGACAGACAAAATGGGCCCTGGCCTCAGAGGGCGCACGTTCGAATGCTATAGAATTCCTCAGACTTGGCCCACACACTAGAGTTACATTATGTGACCTTACCTGGGCCTCACTGCTGCGTGGAAATTATTTATCTCACCTCTAATGACTTTCTATCAAACTGCCCTCACAGTAGATGGTTCAAGATTTGTCCACCCCAACTAGCCTGTCAAAGCCGATGACCTCAGGCCTCTTAGCTTACCCAGGCTGTCTCAAGCTCCCATATACCTCTACTCTGCAGAGCCTCTCTACACTGGTACCCACCCTTTGTTGTTCCATCTCAGAGAAGGAGGAGAATATTAGCTGATATCTATGTAGCACCTTAAGATTCCCCCCCCAAAAAAAAAAACATCCCTTGTTGTGATACCAAGCCTCTCCTTGTATCTCTGACTGTATCTGACTGCCGTCTCCTCCAGAAATGTGTGTCCTTCACTGCTCCCTCCGTCTCTCTCCCATCTTTCATCACTGCCTGTGGGCAATGTCTGAAGGCTGCCACACCTAAGGGGATGACAGAGCAGAGCCAAAGTAAAGAATTTCATCAAGGAAAGAAATGCCCAAATGAGGAAATGGACCGTGGCAAGCTCAAAGAATATTTGATGAACAGAGAATCTGTGCTTCCTACTGGTATCCATGCAATGTCAGAAGAAAGTCAGGAAGGCCTCGGGGGTATTAGAGGGGCCTCATGTGGCAAGGTCCTGAGAAGACAGGGAAAGAGCTGTCCCAGAGGTGGTGGCAATGGTGCTGTTCAGTTGTGTCTAGCTCTCCGTGACCCCATTTGGGGTTTTCTTTTTTTTTTAAATTTTTTAATTAATTTATTTTGATTTATCAACAATCACTTCCATAAGCTTTTGAGTTTTAAATTTTTCTCTCCCTCCCTCCCATTCTCCCTCCCCAAGACGGCATGCAATCTGATATAGGCTCTACGTATACATTCCTGTTAAACAGATTTTCACATTAGTCATGCTGTAAGGAAGAATTAGAACCAATAGGAGGAACCACTAGAAAGAAGAAACAAAACAAAACTGAAGAAAGGAAAAAAATAGCAAATAGTATGCCTCGATCTGCATTCAAATAGTTCTTTCTCTGGATGTGAGTAACATTTTCCATCATGAGACTTTTAGAGATGTCTTAGATCCTTGTATTGCTGAGAAGGGCTAAGTCTATCGACGTTAGTCATTGCATAGCATGGCTGTTACTGTGGACAGTGTTCTCCTGGTTCTACTCACTTCACTCAGCATCAGTCCATACAAGTCTTCCCAGGTTTTTCTGAAATCCGCCTGCTTATCATTTCTTACGGAAGAATAATATTCCATTACGTTCATATACCACAACTTGTTCAGCCATTCTCCAACTGATGGGCATCCCCTCCATTTCCAGTTCTTTGCCACCACAAAAAGAGCAGCTATAAATAGTTTTGTACATGTGGGTCTTTTTCCCATTTGTATGACCTCTTTGGGATACAGCCCTAGAAGTAGTTTTGCTGGATCAAAGGGTAGGCACATTTTTATAGCCCTTTGGGCATAGTTCCAAATTGCTCTCCAGAATGGCTGGATCAGTTCACAACTCCACCAACAATGCATCGGTGTTCCAGTCTTTTCACATCTTCTCCAGCATTTATCATTTTCCTGTTTTGTCATGTTGGCCAATCTGATAGGTGTGAGGTGGTACCTCAGAGTTGTTTTGATTTGCATTTCTCTAATCAATAGTGATTTAGAGCATTTTTTTGAATGATTATAGATAGCTTTAATTTCTTCCTCTGAGAACTGCCTGTCCATATCCTTTGACCATTTATCAATTGGGGAATGACTTGTATTCTTATAAAGTTGACTTAATTCTTTATATATTTTAGAAATTAAGTCCTTTGGGAACTAAATGGTACAGTGAATAGAGAATCGGCCCTGGATTCAGGAAGACCTGAGTTCAAATCTTGCCTCAGACACTCGACACTTACTAGCTGTGTGACCCTGGGCAAGTCACTTTACTCCATTGCCTCGCCAGAAAAAAAAAAAAGAAATGAGGCCCTTGTCAGAGACACTGGTTGTAAAATTTCTTTCCCAGTTTTCTACTTTCCTTCTAATCTTGGTTGCATTGGCTTTGTTTGTGCAAAAAC